AGTTTTAGCAACATGCACTTCAGCACTTAGAGATCAACAAGAGAAAGTGCATTTATAGAGGCATGTATATATTTGGGACAGAGCTTGAGTGTGCATTTTAGAGAGGGTGTGCACTTATAGTTGTATAGAGGGTGTGTTTTACTGTAGAACTTTTATATGCTGGATCAAGAAGCTGGATTAAGAAATGCTGTGTGCACCTTCACTGCGTGCATTCAGAAATGTCGACTATACAACATCAAATAAGTATAACATACCTTTTTTTTTTTCTTTTTTGTAGCTTTATTCATTTTATATTTGAAAAGGCTATTTATTTATGACTACTTAAATAACCACCTTTTTTTTTTAATTTTCAGAGTATTTTTTAGCTACTTTTTTATGTTGTCTCTTCGGCTGCATCAACATCAGTTGCATTATGAAGATCTCAAACTTGTTGCAAAATTAATAATAATTCTTTCTTTCTTTTTGACCTTAATCCCCTAAATTGTAGTTGTTTGGCTTCATTTAGGGATTCAACTAATGTTTCGATCGCGAATACTACTTCTTCTTTCTTCAATGAACTTTCAGCTGATTGTAATTGTGCTTCATCATAAGTAACAGGAATGGATCGGGTAGGTTCAGGACTAATTAAGCCAAGCTTTCCTTTAATATAGTTTATACGTTGAGCTTTGGCTTTAATACTGAAGGATTTCATTTGTACACTTAATTTATTATTTCCATCTAAACTGTCAAAGCTATTATTTAAATTTAGATTTGGATTTAGAAAACCTGTTTTTCTTAACTGAATTCGAAACCTTTGTGATTCCTCTTCGTAGTCTGGATGGCTTCGTGGACCTGAACTTTCAGAATCTGCATATCCCATTGTAGTGAACAATTTTTTTCATAGCTATCAAGATAATATTTATTAGGAAGAAAAATATTAAGTATATCAAATAATAATAATATACTGTATATTTTTATATTTATTATATTTATTCTTACCTTCATAAATTTTGTACAATTTCTTGCAGCCATTTCCCAATGCTTTTGAGCTGGTATAGGTGGGATCAGCATTTTTAATATCTTATTTACCTCTTCAAGTATAGCATCTAATCCCTGATGTTGATTTGACCTTCCTGATCGTGCTACAACAGAATTACATTCGATAATTTGACGAATCTCAGGACGAAGACGCATTAATTGTTCTTCATCAGCTACTTCAATTGCTTGGTAAATGGGATGCCGTCTTGCAGACCAAATAGAAGCAAACATTCTACGTGCTGCCGATTTAAGCAGAGGTTGATTATATCTAACACTGGTATGAAAGTTTATAATTGCTTGTAGATACCAAAAGATCTAGGTATAATCTAATATTAGTAATTGGAATTTAAATTTAAATATTTATTACTAAATACCTGTTCATATTTTAATTTATACAGTTCATTTTTTTGATTTTTAGCCCAATCAAGAAAACTGTTAACAGACTGAAGCAATGTATGGCCAAACCAATTCCATTGTCATTGCATGCCGGTAAATATTGTACACCGAATCTCATGCTTTATGGTGATCAGCATATTTTTTAAAATAACCTAACTGATTTTCGGTTCTATATCCTTGGCATTGTGCAAAATCTCGTAAGTCGATGTTCCTGTGATATAACGAAATCAGTTATATTGGTCAGTAATTTAATAATTAATTATTAAGTAGGATGGTGAATTTTTTACTATATTGTTACTAATATAGTTTTTCTTTTTTTTATTACCAATTCAATTCCACGAAAGCTTTTAACATATTCATTTCTTCATGAAGTGGACCAGGCAACAAAATAATTCTTGGATATTCGGATTTAAATTTTTGTGCATAATGGTAAGGAAGTCCGTCACAAACTACTACAATCCATCTTCGATTTCCATTATTAACTCCACTAATATTTTGAATATGATCAAAAATTTTGCGAACATTATCAACAGAATTTGGATTAATTGGTAAAGGATCGGGTACAAGAACATCGGGTATTTTAACACCGTCTTGAGGTTCCAAATTTTGTGTTATACTTATTGAACTTGTAGATTCATCTGATTTACCCGATTTACTTTCTTTAGGTTGATAGGGTCTAAAAGTTAATGGCTTAATTGAATCTTTCTCTTTCTTATCAGATATGGTTTGCTCTTTTTCTTGTTGAGTTTCAGCGAGTGTAGGAAGTTTTGCATGACATTGAGGACATTTACGCTTAGAGTTTTCAATATCTTTTTTACCACAATCATGATATTGTTTTTGATTTTTTGTTTTAGCACTTTGATTAGTTATTAAATTGTCAATAACATTTATTTCTTCATTTTTTTCTGTACATAATTCAGTTATAATAGATAAAAGATAATCATGAAGCTGACGATCAAGCAATGCTTGCATTTCTGGAATAATTCTTCGATTTGGGATATATTAAGATTTTGATGTAGCCAAAAGTTTTCAAAATTTTGTATTTGATTAGTAGGATCGAAGTTAAATAAAACAAAACTAGTGACCGTATGAAAGATCACTTTATTATATCCACGATCTAAATAATTTTTTTGGCCTTTTTGTTCGTTATCAAATGCCATAATACCAAACCATTTGGAAATGGTTCCGAATTACCCGCTAAAGTTTCTTGCCAATTAATAAATTTGGTAAAACCACCACTATTTATAATATGGCTATCGATATCAATTATCGTTTTAGACTTTGCTATAGAGTATTTTATTGCCGATAGTGCTAAATTAATCGAAGACACATATTTTAAATATCTTATTCCATATATATTATCTATTGCTACGGCACATTTAAAAAGTTTTTCTCCTTCATAATGGTCTTCATTTTCATTATGTGTAAGAGTTTTTATAAATTCTACTACAACTGGATTACGCATTATAAGCCATTGAGATGGGGAATAATTTAAGAGACTATCTAAACAAAAGTGCTCACGGTTATTTATTAATTTAACGACATCATCATACAAGGCAATTCATTCTCGTTTGGCAATTTCTACAACGGCTTTAACACGCTCTTGTTGGTTATCGTATTTATTATTTAATTTTTTTTTTAACAAATTATTTTCAAGTAGTAATTGTTGATTTAAACATTCTAATTCATTAATTTTTTTAATAAGACTTTCATATTCGGTAACGAATGTTTGGGTAATGACACTTGAATCCCAAAATCACGAAAATTTATTTCATTATCAGACAAAACTTTTTTTTTAGTTTTTTTCATTGGAACATAAAAAACAGAATCACCAACTTTTTCTATTTGCTCAAGAAAAAAATTTTTAATGATTATATTGTTGTAATGTTTTTGACATACAGAGTAATCATTCAAAGAACCAAGTAACGGTGATAATTTTGAAAGATTCTTAACCAAACCCTTGGCTTTATTCTCGACCATGGGGCCATCCGCATGTTGCTACTTTGCTTTTCAGGAGTTTCACATATTGCCAACTCACTTCCCGGGTAATCCCCAACAAGAAAGTTAAACAAACAAGGTAAATCTTTGGCTTCTGTTCTTGAAATCGCCATGTCTATATACGAATATATATGTATTTTAAGCAAGAATAAAAAAAAAACTACACTATAAACTTTCGTGGATCCTTGTGGATTCTTAAACTACGGGTTTTGAAAAATGTATTTTGACAATTAGTTTTTAAAAAATTGGGCAAATTTTTTTTTTGACGTCACGAAGTTCACGGCTTTGCGTCGATAAGGATGATCGTCTACCAATTAGATTTCAAGACGTGATTTGGAATATTCTAGATCTGATTTCCAAATTGGGTAAAATACCGGACTGTAATAAATATAAAAAATTGTTATTCATACCGTTATTTTTGTTATTTGTACCCTAAACTTAATCATCGCATCGTATAAATGTCGCTTTTGATTAGTAAGCATTATTACTAATCAAAAAGCGAAGTTTGAATTTTGGAGCCCCGACATCATACGATGCGATGATTAAGTTTAGGGTACGAATAACAAAAATAACGGTATATGTATCAATAATGCCGCAAGTTTAGTTATTTTTTACAACCCATACAATAACTTATTTATATATACTGTATATTATATACTATATAATTAGCTTAACTTCTTATACAATATTAATAAATAAAAAAAAAATTTTTTAATACGTAATCTTTTGGCAAATAACCGCTTTTCAAATATAAATATTTGTAAAAAAATTACTTTTTTATTCAAAATTTCAATATAACCTCTTCATTCATGTAATCATGTGAACTATCAGCTACGTATCATAAATATAATACGTACATACGTACGTAATTTCTGATTTCAAAATATCGCAGCATTATTATGATTATTTATTGTGCAACAAATTTGTTTATTGATATATATATAGTATATAAAATTAAAATAATCAATATAAATAATTTCTAGGTTTTTCAAAATACAAGTAAATCTTGATATAAGAATCCAGTCAAAGCCTTTCTTATGCAAAATCTTTCTTATATCGAGAGTTTCTTATATCGAAGGTTTCTTATATCGAGAGTTAGTTGCATAAGGCAATCTTAAAAAATTACTATATCAAAGAGTTGATAGTTTTAGTTTTGAAAATTGCTTCATTGCTCTGTTGGGAAATGCTTACGCTCCATTTGCCAACACTAAACGTATAACAAAAAAATTTTAACGTCCGGCCGGTTATAGAACCCTAAAAATTTCTGTAATAAATAAGCATTGCCAATTATCTGTTATTACATAGTACGACGTACGTACGTATGTACGTACGTAAAAGAAAATTTTATCGTTAAAAAGATAAAGGGCGTTTCTAGTAGTATTTATATAGAAAGACTAAAACACATGATTTTTGTCTTTGGCAATGGTTTGCTAAGCCATTTTTAAAGATGACTATTCGCTATTCGGTTACACCCTGATCTACAATTCTTTATAATCACGGTGATATAAGCAATTTATACGTGCAGAGTATATATAATATATTCTTGAAGGATCGATTGTTTAATTATTGTTTTTCGCACTTACAACTTCATGGATCTTCAGAACGGGTATAGATCATTATTATGGTTGGCATTTGGAGTTGATAAGATAGAAGTGTGCATATGGCATATAAAGTTAACTTGGATGTTTTAACAGACAAACAAAACACCTTGGCGTTACGCCGCCGATTGCCGTAACCTATCCCACCCCCAGAGAAATTGAAGTCACAGATTTGCTGGTTCAAGAACTCACCGCACAGGGAACGTTCGAGAGCGAAGAAGAGAGCAAGCGACGGTATGTGTTTTTCTAATAAAATTTGCAATAGATTAGTATTAAATTTCTTATTTAGGGTTACTGCTTATACTACGAATACTACTGTGTAGTGAAGTCGTTTTAGGCAAACTCGATAAACTTGTAAAAGAGTTCGTTTACAATATTAGTCGAGAAAAAAAAAAACTTCCAGAAGCTGATGCCAAAGAGGCCGGGGGAAAAATCTTCACTTTTGGTTCATACAGGCTAGGAGTTCATGGAGCTGGTACAAATTTAATATAGATTTATTTGTTTATTTTCTTAATTAAAATATCTAACTAACAGAAATTGGAATACTTACAGGTGCTGATATTGATACACTATGTGTTGTTCCTAGACATGTAACTCGGGAAGATTTCTTTGATGAAATGCACAGAGTTCTTAGAAACCTTTCTGAAGTAAACGAACTAACTGTAAGTGCCTTAAATATTTATGCACGTAGATAGGCCTTGTAAATGATACTAATAATATTAATTTTATATAGTGTGTGCCCGACGCCTACGTTCCTGTTATAAAATTAAAATTTCAAGATATCCCAGTTAATTAATTAACCTACTATCTTTATTATATATGAATTTTTATAGAACTGTACACTGTTAAATGTTTTAATGTCATTCTTCTTAATAAATAGATTGACCTTCTCTTCGCAAGATTAGAGCTTCCTAAAGTTCCCGACGAGCTTGAACTTAAGGAAAACACACTTCTAAAAAATTTAGATGAGACATGTATCAGAAGCTTAAATGGTGATTAAAGTCCCTAATGTCGTGATTAAGTTAATAATTTACTAAAATTTATCATTTAATATTCGCTAGGGTCGCGAGTAACGGATGAAATATTACGTCTTGTTCCAAGCATACCAGCCTTCCGCACATCTTTGAGGTGTATAAAGCTTTGGGCAAAAAGTAAGCTTTCCTGAGTCATCTTCTTATTTATTTAGAATCCATATATTCATTAAAATCATTTAATTTCAGGACGTGCCATATATTCTAATGTAATGGGATTTTTTGGAGGAGTTGCATGGGCAATGTTAGTTGCTCGAATCTGTCAACTATACCCAAATGCCATAGCTGGTGCGATCGTTTCACGATTTTTCAGAATTATGCATCAATGGTTAGTATAAAGTTGATTCCGTTTCTTTGCGTTTATTATTATATCTTGATAGTAACAAATAAAGAATAATAGGAGATGGCCTCAACCAGTGTTATTAAAGCCAATTGAGGACGGACCGCTTCAAGTCAGAGTATGGAATCCAAAGGTATAGTTTTATATATATTATATGTGAACTATTAAGCCACCGGCAATTTGTTCCTGATATTTTTAATTTCATTCATGTAATAATATTATGAGTTGCTGTCTAAGAACATTGGCGGATGATTTGTAATTGAGATTTTCGATTGCATTATACTTTTAACCTCATTAATATCTTCCAGATATATCATGGTGATCGGTTTCACTTGATGCCAATAATTACTCCCGCTTATCCTTCAATGTGTGCTACACATAATGTCACGCAATCTACTAAAAAAATAATAGAGAGAGAATTTGAGCGAGGTAATTTCATTTTGCTTTTTCATTCTTATATTTACATATTTACATATACTTATATTTGTCTCTTATAATTAAGCTGCTGAGATTGCGGATCATGTAATGGTCGGTTCAGGAAAATGGGCGGACCTTTTCGAAAAACATGACTTTTTTATAAGATACCGATACTACCTGCAGATCATAGTCTCATCTGATTCTTCCGAAAGACAATTGAAATGGTTGGTATTTTTTTGGTAAATGATAATATTATTGGTATTAAAGGTTATATCGTGATTACTAGGTCGGGTATGGTAGAGTCAAGAATTCGCCACTTAATATCAAAGCTGGAAAGTGTCGAGAATCTTGAATTAGCACATCCTTTTGTGAAAGGGTTTGATAAAATTCATCATTGTACAAGTGATCAAATGGCTACTGATGTGATGCATGGAATTTTTGATTCAACGTCAATCACCGATAAAAACAACACAGAATCATCACAAAATAGCACAGATGCAGCGACTGCTCGTGTTATATATACTACTACTTTCTACGTCGGATTGGATATTAGTCGTAGAGATCGTAAGTTTAATCGCAGTTTCTATGGTTCGCTTTTAAATTACTAAATTTCATGACTTTATCATTAATTTATAATTTTAGCTGGTACAAAAGCACCCAGACAATTAAATATTTCATGGCCGACCCAAGAATTCATAAAATTGGTAAAAGTTTGGGACAAATATGACGAAAAATCTATGGGCATTCATATCAAACACGTAAAAAGGTATTATGAATCAAATTTTCGTGTTCGTGATGTCACTGTTTATCATCTACAGCCACAACTCTGTAATATCTAGTTCGGAATTACCTCCTGAGGTATTCGAAGACGGCCAGAAGAGACGAGAAGACTCAAAGAAACGAAAACGTGTACCTCCTGAAGTACCCGAGGACGGTCAGGGGAAACGAGAAGATTTAAAGAAACGAAAACATGACGGACTTCCTGAGAAGGTATGAAATAAAATTCTATGATTGTTCGATATGCCTTTCTAATTTTCATTTTACTATTTCAGGACCAAAATCCTAAGAAAATCAAAAGTAGCTCTCCAAATGGCATATAGCGAATTGGACAAATATAATATACGAGGTAACGATTTCCCATGATTTTCATATGGAAATCGAATTTTGAGCGATGAGTATTGGCTTCTGGCAGTATATTCAATCTCGTTTCCGCGCAAAACTTATATAAAGAAAAAAAAAAAAAAAAGGGAAAAGGGGGAAAAAAAATTTTATATAAAAGTTGAGATAAATGAAAGCTTGCACCTTGCAGCTTGTGTCAATAATAACAGTTCCTTAAAAAAAAAAAAAAAAAAAAAAAAAAAAAAAAAAAAAAAAAAAAAAAAAAAAAAAAAAAAAAAAAAAAAAAAAAA